TAAATATTTATATATATAATTTTACAACATATTTTAGCGATTCTTTCACCTTCCTTGCTGATGACATTCGAGATGGCCTCCTTCCCCCTCCCCCCCCCCCCCCCCCCCCACGGCCTACTTCTTTTTCCGATTTTTTTCCAACTCATATTTGTGTTTCTTTCTATCAGAGATAGGCAATGTATTACAACACGTTAATCAATTTGTTTATTTAACCGCTTCTCTAACCCTCGTTTTCGTTTCTTCTTTTTTTTTTCTTTTCCTTTTTCTTCTTCTTCTTCTTCTTCTTCTTCTTCTTCTTCTTTTTCTTCTTCTTCTTCTTCTTCTTCTTCTTCTTCTTCTTCTTCTTCTTCTTCTTCTTCTTCTTCTTCTTCTTCTTCTTCTTCTTCTTCTTCTTCCTATTCTTCTTCTTCATATTTTTCTTCTTCTTCTGCTTCTTCTTCTTCTTCTTCCTATTCTTCTTCTTCTTATTATTTTTCTTCTGCTGCTGGTTCTTCTTCTTCTTCTTCTTCTTCTTCTTCTTCTTCTTCTTCTTCTTCTTCTTCTTCTTCTTCTTCTTCTTCTTCTTCTTCTTCTTCTTCTTCTTCTTCTTCTTCTTCTTCTTCTTCTTCTTCTTCTTCTTCTTCTTCTTCTTCTTCTTCTTCTTCTTCTTCTTCTTCTTCTTCTTCTTCTTCTTCTTCTTCTTCTTTTTCTTCTTCTTCTTCTTCTTCTTCTTCTTCTTCTTCTTCTTCTTCTTCTTCTTCTTCTTCTTCTTCTTCTTCTTCTTCTTCTTCTTCTTCTTCTTCTTCTTCTTCTTCTTCTTCTTCTTCTTCTTCTTCTTCTTCTTCTTCTTTTTCCCTCGCCCCATCCCCCAGAAAGAGAGAGAAAGTTAGCATTACAATGTAGCCTGTGTTTTCGAGACAAGAGTACCGGAGTACTAGACAGAGACAGACACTACTGCGTAAGCGTTACACGTTCGTCTGCCTGCCCAGGTTATTTTAAACATTGACCTTGACTTTCAGATCGACCAGACCTAAAATTGGAACAAAGTAATGTCATGTGAAGTAAAGGCGGTCGACATAACGTTAGCCACATCTTCACCGAATGATAACTGATCTGTAAAAATGACCATAACGCCATATACCCGGTGCAACACTGTGGTAATAAAGTGTTCCTTACTTTTTTTTTTTTTACACTAGAGAGAAGAGAATGGCAGTCATGATAATTACGTCTTTTAGTCTCACACGGTTTTTGCTAATATACACATATACAACCTTTGCAGGAAAGAGATAAGTTTACATAATTATTTCGAGTCGCTCACTGAACATAAGATGTAAAAACGTATATAACATGTTGACTGGTACAAGCGAATCATACCCAGTCACGCAAAGTGCGTTGTTTAGGACATAAATAATTTTTCTTCGCACCCACTAGCTGTAGATTCCGGCGGAATGTTTTAATTGTTTGTCCACTTCTGGACTTAAGTCTTGCTCCAGAACTTGATTTTTCGTGCGTGTCCGTAGTACATATCTGACTTATTTGTATGCAGACGTTTTCCTGCCTTTTAGGCAGGCGTACTCCGACTACGAAGGAAACACTACTAATCAGTAGTCGTTTACGACATGCTTGATAGGGGATAATTAATTAAGTAACAGAAAGTGTATTGATCGGCACTCATAGAAAGAAGTAGAAAGATAGAAGAAGAAAGGGGTAGAAGAAAGATAGAAGGATGTGCCTGGTTGTCCATGTTCTTAGTGCACTTGTATTCATGGCGAGGCGCAGATGCCGTCTGGAGGTGACAGGTTCAATTCCCGGCACAGTAACTATAGCTTTCGATTTTTATGTTGTCTAGTGTGTTCTTTTATCTTTCTACTTCTTTCTATGAGTGCCAATCAATACACTTTCTGCTACTTGATTAATTCATAATATTTAACGGCCTCAAAGGTTCCCCCTCTGTTTATTTATTGTTAGGGGAGCAGTGGGTCTGTCCTTGAAACCCCCCCCCCTCCCCCCCTCTCCCTTTACCATTAACGGGGCTCTGCATTACTGACTGAGAAATAGAAAGAATTAACGCCTCAGATTGTGAACTATGAGATGAAGTTATCTTTCTTCCCCGTGGCAGCTGGTTTTAGAAAACGCACAGCAGGCTGGCACTTCTGCAGCCGACTATTTAACCTTGGGGTTGTCTCAATAAAAAAAAACCTGGGGAAATCAGAGAAAAATTAAGTTATCGGCACTGGTCAGGGGTCTGTTAGGCTTTTAGGTGCCTTTCCTTTTGTTGACAGTCGACGCCGGGTGGCCACATGAAAAGGACAGGGTAACTAGGTTATCTGCGCCCTTAGGATGTGTTCAGATGAGCAATTAGGGCCTGGAGCGCTACACAATCCAACATGTCAGGATTGTCAGTATTGGAAGCTCGGGGTTGGTTTTTCCATGGTGGGGGGGGGGGGGGGGGGGGGAAGGGGGTTGCTATCTTGTCTAATGTTGACAAGTCAGTAGGGATGATAAAAGTGAGGAGGAGGAGAGAAAAAAAAATGGAAAGTGAAAGAGCGAAGGAAAGATATGCAGAGGTACACAGAGAGACCATTATAGATAAACAGGTACAGTTAACAGAAAGAGAGAAATAGAGACACATAAAAAAAAAGGATAAATATAGGATATACGTGCGTGACACACACACACACACATACAGGAGTGGAAATATAGACAAGAAGACAAAGTAATAACTGACACAAAGAGAATGTAAAGAGATAGATAGACAGACGGAAGGATAGATGCAAGAACGGACATTTTTACAAGTTGCTCAGAAACGGGGTTTTGGAAAACCGAAACTAGTTTCTCCTATAAGATGTAAACTAGATTTATTCGTTTCCTAACTGCAGCTAGGTGTTTATATATTTCAACCCTAATAACAGGGGCGCTGTATGGTCTCGAGGTATGGAGTCCGCCTCGAGTGCTAGAGGTCCCGGGTTCAGACCCCTGTGAAGGCTGCGATTTGTTTCTGTTCACGCGGACTTCTAGTAATTTCTCCTGGTCTCTTGGTAGTGAGATCGGACGCCCGTGTATATTATTGCGCACGTAAAATATTTCCTTGGCAGTTTGAAAATAAACAAATGAAAAATAAAAATAAAAATTTGGAATTAAAAATCTATCCAAAAAGTGTTTCAGAATCCTCGTCGGTGCAACAGAGTTTGTGCACTGCGCTGAGATTTTTCGGAATCAGGCTTGAATTAGAAGAAGAACGGAGCACCTATGGGTTGCTACCCGTGTGCCATGATGTTGACCCGGTGTTTCGTTCGTCGTTCGTTCGAAGAAAAACAACAATTTCAAACGTTGTCCTTTTTTAACCGCCTGATGGCCTGTTTTCGGACCGGTGTTCAAACTTCACACCTTTATAACAGTGCTTCTCTGAAAATGTATTCATTGTTTTGATGAAAAATATATAGATAAAATTCCTTTAAAAAAAGTATTCAAATGAAGAACAACTTGACGTACCAGTCTCTTATCAATATAAGAAGAGAATAAACAAACCAATCAGAAGGCCACCAAAGCTGGCACAATGCGATCATCATATCATGGACAGACCAGATCAAGTCATTTTTCTTCACCTTACAACAGGACACAATCGACTTCACAACCACATGATCCTGAAATTTAAGACTGGTGAATCGGTCATGTGCACATGTGGTTTGGCACCTGAGACAACATATCACGTCCTCTAAGACTGTCCCAGATAGAACATATCAAAGCAAAAATTATGGCCAAGAGAAACCTCGGTGCAAGCCAAACGTTACACGGGTCGCTGAGTGAATTACAAAAGACAGTGAAATTTATATTAGAGACAACATTGCAGATATAGATAATGCAAGAGATGCAGTTTATGATAAAGGTTTTTGCTTCTCCTTCTGAAGGTGTTCCTTCCAGTCGCCCTATCTTTGTCAATGATTTCTTAAACAATGAACAATGTTGAAGTGAATTTACAGAATTCTCTAAGTGTTCATTGTGCTTCTTTGATTCCTTGAGTGGGTTCCAGGGCCCCATTGTGGGGGGGGGGGGGAAAACAACGGACCCACTGCATTCCCTATAAGTATGTCGTAGGAGTCGAATAATTGGGGACTTCATTCGAAGTCCTACTGCATCTGTCGGAGAGGCAAGGAACAACCAGCTGCACATAAATAAGCCAGTAAAACGGATGCACAGCAAAACTCAGGTCCCGGCACAAAGCCAAAGTCCAAATGGGCGAACAGCCAGGACTTTTCGCCGAAGCTTACAGTCAGGCAACAAAGAAGAAGACATTCCTTGATGTAGAGATTCTTAAATGTTACAATGACCTGTTGGGTTGTGTACTTGATTAGAGCAGTTGTTTTGGGTGGTACCGACGAAGATCGGGGCGTGTTTGTGAGTGCCAGTAGGGTGGGTATGCAAGTATTGGATCTTACCTCAAGCACAAAATATCATGGCACTGACACTGCTCAAGTGACTCAATCGTTTACTTTTGTTTTCTTCTTCTTCTTTTGTCAAAATCTGTTTGTGCCGCTAGGCGTCGCAGTCTATCAGATGATCGGCAACCGAGCCAGGGCGCGCTCAGTCGCTTCATATGCCGTGATGTTATGAAGTCTCAAGTTGTCCGTGACTCCTTCAATCCATCTTCTTCTTGGTCTTCCCCTGCCTCTTGGTGTTTCGATTTTCATGTTGTATGCTCTTGATGCTGGCATCGTTGGTTCCATTCTCATTAGGTGACCAAACCATTTCATTCTTTGCTTCTCAATAAATTTAACGATGGGTATGGTTCCAATAGTTCTTGTAATCACATCGTTTCTCACTCGATCTCTTCTGGTTTTATTCGCAGCCATTCTCAAACATCTCATTTCACAGGTGGTTAGTCTTCTCTCGTGTTCTTTTGTTAATGTCCAAGTCTGACATTGATAACCTAATGTCGGTATAAAGATTGTATTTATAATTTGTCTTGTTTACTTTTGTAAAGCATTAAATTATATTTGTTTATCTGTGACATTTTCATGCAGGTTCCAAGTTAGCCACGTCTGAGGTGATTGTTTTCTTAGACGCTCACTGTGAGTGCAATCTAGGCTGGCTGGAGCCGCTGCTGTTTAGCTTGTCCGTAAACCCAAAGAAGGTGAGAATATTTCCCTTGATATACAGGGTGTTTGTAAAGTCTCACTACACTTTGTACGTAGAAAAAAAAATGTTAAAAACAATATAATGAGAACTCCACAAGGAGAGCATGCACAACGGAAGCCTACTGGTCCTCAGTAGGTGGTCCCCATTCAACAATTGTTTCGGTCCGTTTATCCCCTAGACAATCTCTGGGGTGGGAGGGGGGGGGGAGGCGAACTGGGTCATCATTCCCTAGCCTTAGACATCACCCCCTGCTGCGCTGATCGGACAATCGGACAAGACGTTATGGTCATTGCAAAAGGTACTGAGGTTATGCTGATATATCATCATTATAGTTAGTTGCGTATCTTTTACAGGACGTTATAGAACCAGCCCCAGCATGTTTTTGGCTGTTGTGGTTTTTCTAGCAAAGTTTAAGTGCAGTATTTTGCCATTGCTTTCTGGACGGTCAGCTTTTCGATACCAATGTCGAAACCAACGCAAGACGCAAGGCCCACAGCTGGGATCAAACCCGGCACCGCGGAATTACGAAGCGCGTTCGCAACCCCTAAGCCACAGACGCTGACTATCTAACGACTATATCGTCGCTGCGGTAGCAAATTAGGCGCCTACTTGCATGACCAGAGTGACAAATGGACGGTTGGCTCATCGGATACACGTTTATCGGACAGACGTTTATCGGACAGACGTTTATCGGACAGATGTTTATCGGAGAGACGTTTATGGGAGAGATGTTTGTCAGACAGACTTTGGCAGTTGGCACTAACGCGGAAAGACGTTGATAGAACAACTTAGGCTTAATGGATTTAAAAGTACAAAACGTTTCAAAAACTGTGCTCTACAGTCAATCACGGAACAATATGTAGTGAGTAGCTGTCATCTGCTGGAGTAATGTTTACCACTCAAAGCATAATGGTGTTATCGATGGAAGCAATCAGGATTACGGTTCAATAAATATCCAGAAACGCGATGCAAAAGATATTAAGCAATATGAAGAGATATGTACAGGTATGTCTTGAAGCTCGTCATGGACACTGCCAAAACATGTTATAATGAACGTATCACTGGTACTTGCCAGCTTCTCCAAAACTTGATGGTAGTGATCATTGAAACTAATTTAATTACTCCTTAGCAGTTTTTTAAGGACGTCACGTACAGGTTTTTAACCTTGTTTGGCATACAAAGTGTAGTGAAACTTACGAACACCCTATATTTTACCGTGTTTTTCTAAAAATAAGTTCGTGTCTTATATTAATTTTTATTTCAAAGATACTACGGGCTTTTTTTCAGGAGATGCCGTTTTCATGAATAAAAGTATAAATTTAAAAAATACGGACATATTTTTTAAACCAAAAATATACATTTATTGAAGTATTTAAACACTTATAGCTATATAATTCAGTACACCCACCTTGTGATTCAACGGTCGAATCGATCCGTTTATCTGGTTGACAAATATCAATTATAGCTTATTTTTGGGAAAGGGCTTACATTATGATAATCCCTTTAAAAAATCATGCTACTAAAACATCATGCTACAAAATAAAATAAATAAAATAGATGCTAAAAAAAAATCATGCTACTAAAAGTCAGGCTACAGATTATGTTCCGGTTAAGTCATATTTTTCAAGAAAAGAGGTAGGTGTGTGTAGTCAGTGGTGATACCTTTTCATGTGATAAGAATTAAAAAAGGCGGGGAAAAAACGGATAAGGTGGTAAGAAGTGGTGATGAGCGAGAGAAGCAAAATACAGATTAGGAAAATCCCGAACAGCAGTAGTAGACATTATCAAAATAATACGTTTTAGTAATAATACTCGCAGAAGCAAAATTAGTATCAGTAGCCGCAGCAGTATTAGCGACAATAATATCTTTAATAACAGCAGTAACAGTAGCAGCGTCGGCTCTGTGGCTAAGTCGATGCGAACGCTTCGTAATGCCGGAATGCCGGGTTCGATCCCAGCTGCGGTCCATGCGCCTTGTGTTGGTTTCGACAGTGGTATCAAGAAAGCCGACCATCCAGTAAGCAATGGCAAACTACTGGACGTAAATTTGCCTAGAAAAAAAACCCACACAACAACCAGGGGCTGTTAGGGTTGGTTCCGCAACGTCCTGTAAAGGATACGCAACTAACCTTAACAGTAGTAGCAGCAGCAGCAATAGTTATATTAGTAGCAGCAGTATCAGCAGTAGTAATGATAGCCGTTAGGTGTATAATGTGAATAGTGCTAGACATATTTTTTTTGACCAGTCAGCATTCAGTAGATGGTATAGTAGGCATAACACAGGCCGCCTTCACTCCCCGGACGTTACCTATAACCCAGTATAGGCTAGGTCAACCTGGGAGCCAAGGTCATTTTTGAAAGATTCCAACCCACGATCTTTGGGCCAGTATGCTAGCGTCTAGCCACTACAACCTTTTATTATGTAAAATAAATAATTCTATGACGGGTTTTGATAAGCAAATTCTGACATTCACTGTGTTTTGAAAGCTGTGTATTTTGTCAGTATAAGTGGCACGGAAAGATTGCTGTTTCTGTCTGAAATGTTATTTGGGTTTGATAATGCCAGCCTTATTCTGAGCTCATATTCGCTCGGTTATGGCAGGATTTCATAATTAAAACGTATATTTCAGTGCATGAGCCTACCAGATGGAAATCGCTCTTTCAACGCTCATACTTTTTTTTCGGTACCCCTCACTCCGCCCCCTCTCTGTTCCTATCTATTTCCCCTCCTCCTCCTCCACCTGTCTCTTTCTTACGTCTACGTCTCTCATTACCTTTCTCTAACTTTCTGTCTATCTCTGTCTCTCTCTGTCTGTCTGTCCGTCTCTACATCTCTCTCTCTCTCTCTTTCTCTCTCTCTCTCTCTCTCTCTCTCTCTCTCTCTCTCTCTCTCTCTCTCTCTCTCTCTCTCTCTCTCTCTCTCTCTGTGTGTATACCAGATTAAATTTCCCAGCTTTGCCCAAGATAGTGAAAGTCTTATTCTCCCGTCTTCTGCCTCATCTTGGTAGGTAGGTAACTGTACCCATCAGGACATGGCACAAGCGATAAACACCCGGTGACAAAAAGTGCCACCATGCGGATGAGGATCACCCATAGAGAGGTCCTGGAAACCCCGTTCAGCCACTAGGCCATATTTCAGGCCCGGCTATATTTAGGGCCCCCGGCAAAAGCCAGGGTAGTGCGTCAAGATGGCTAAAAATTGCATCCCACAAGGGGATAACGAGACCTTATCTTGGTCTCTACCGCTGTCTTATGTGTGGGACTTGGAGAAGTAGGTGTCAAATTAAAATCCTATATTTAATGCTCCGTCTTTGTCAAGGACATGATATCCACAGGGTTATGACAGTCTTCTACTTCATCTTTAGCTCCACCGCTGCCGTATCTTTAGTCATTGCCCCTAAGTGCACCACAGGCATCTCCTGTAAAACTAACATCAGGATTTAATAGTTTGGGAGACAGACAAATGTATGGTCTCAAACACATATAGATATGTGGTTTCAAGGAAGATTACGGAAATATAATTTTTTTTTTCAAAGGATGTAACAGGTAAAACATTCAAAGTGATATAACTCTAGTGAAAGTTTACTTTTACTAATTGTTGCAATAAATAAAAGAAATGCATGTAAACCTGACAGCCAATCATCATCATCGTCATCACGGGCGATCATGTCTCTTCAGAATCTGCGATCTCCTGCAGCATGTATCAGTTCGTGTGTTGACACACCTCCATGCCATGCAACAAGACTGTCAAACATCTTCTCTCGTTGTCTTCCTCTATTCCTCCCTCCACAGATCTTTCCAGTGGTCAAAATATGTTCCATTTCCCCTCTTCTCATAACACGGCCGAAAAATGATGAATGTCTCCTTCTGATGTCTGTGATGAGTTGTCTTTGGGCTTCTGCCTCTTTCAAAACCTCTTGGTTGCTCTTTTTGGCTGTCCAGGGTATTTGAAGCATTTTTCTGTGAAACCACATCTCTGAGGCCTCAAGAAATTGTTTGGCAATTTGACTGGTAGATTAAAGACTGTAGCCATAATGGTAATCGAAAGCTTAACCCGTGTAGTGGTCACGGTTTTAGAGGAGTTAATATTTCAATTGAAATGAACACACGAAATACAGAAATGGTTTGTGATTATAGTATATATATATATATATATATATATATATATATATATATATATATATATATATATATATATATATATATATATATGGGACAAAGAAGGTTGAAGTAACATTTGGAATAGCACGGGTTATTGTTTAAGACATATACAAAACAAAATATTTAGACTAATGTATCATGTTAGAAGTAATCGCTAAATTCAAGGTGTGTTGTTTATAACTGAAAGAATTTTAAAAAGTTAAAATAAACATAGTTGCTAGCAGAAAATAATATCAACATTAGCTTCTGCGTTTTCGTCATTATCTGATCAGTTCTGATTGCTATCTCTTTCTTTTCCTCAGGTGGTGAGTCCCTACATCGACACCATCAAATCCGAGAACTTCCAGTACAAACAGTCCCCGATGCTGCTGCGCGGCGGCTTCACTTGGAGGCTGGAATTCGGATGGAGAGCAGCCGCGGGTGGAACCAACTCACTGGAGGAAACCCAACCCATTTTGTGAGGAAGTCTTGCATAACTGTTTTCTCCCGCTACCAGTATCTCTCTGAACTCAGGGCTTTTCAAACGTTTCATGTTCGTGACACACTTATTAGACAAACAATTTCGCGACAAGGTAATCCAGTCTACTAGCAAACTAGACATTAATCTGACCCCTTTTTCGAGATGAGAACACACACACACTTGACTAACGAAAAGTTTCACGGCACATTTCATTTATAGATAAAAAAAAAAAAAAACAGGTGCTCTATTAATATCCTACCACAACAGGCCAAATCCACAGGTCACGGGACAGTCTAATATTTCAGGGGGTGGTGGATAGGCTGCATGCAGTTGTGGGACCAAGGCTGCACTCTCTCGTCCGACGTAGGTGGGTTGGAGTTAGTGTCAGTTATAGATGCTCTCGGGTCGTTAAAAGCATCAGAAAGCCGGGAAACCCAGTCTTACCGGCTTCTGAAAGTTGGACTGTCCAGTGACATTCTCTGGGGATAAGATATTAATAAAGAACTCAAATATAATATTGTCATGATTAGTGTCATTGTTAACATTTATAAGTAAAATAATAAAACAGCGATAACTGCGGCGTTGCCTGTTGATTATTCTTTTTAACGTTTTACGTTCTCAAGACACACCTTCACACTGCACAATGTGTCGCGACACACAGTTTGAAAAGCACTGTCCTAGCTTTTCTCTCAGGATGTTATTATTTCTTTTCTTTCGTTTTTTAACTGCTTCATGTTACAATCCTAGACTTAAATATGTCCTGACACGCTGTTACGCTTCTTGCCTTGCCATCTTCAAGTGTTACGTTTCTTCCCGGCAAGGCGTTTCAGCTTACGTATTTTCCCGCAGATGTTTATACAGTAACTAAGCTTAGACTGCCTGATGGTTTTTTGCGGCGTTCTCCGGATATGTACCATCTGCTGCTTAGGGCCAGACATTTCTGGAAGGTTCTGTATTGTTTCGCAGAAAGTGTTATAATGTTTCGCACGACCTTTACGGGGACTAATTAGAAAAATATAACCTGGCAGAGAAGAGTACAACTAACATGTGTCTGCCACATTTCTGTCTTATTCATAGTTTCCTTTTCGTGAGTGAATACTTATTATACCTAGTTTAGTCATTCTTACTTAAATACAGGTTTCGAGTTTCAGTTAGCAAACATAAACATAATTTGATCTTTCCATGATCAAATGTTTTTATTGAAATTCTAGCTATACCCGGCCAGGCGTTGCTGTGGCCCAGAATGGTGAAATGGAGAGGAAAGAAAATAGCTCTCAGCTAACAGTGTCTGTTATAACCCCCCCCCCCCCCCCCTCCCTCCCCCTCGACCCAGTCATATCTCTCTATACGAAGGATTGAAAAATCATCCATGGCGAAATTATTAAAATAGAAATAGTTAAGAAATGAGAACTTTTAAAATAATATTTTTAGCTCTCTCAGCTAACTGTATCTGGCATAACCCCCCCCCCCCCCCCCCATCATATCTCCCTCTCCGGAGGATTGAAAAATCATCCATTGGGAAATGATTAAAATAGAAATAGTTAAGAAATGAGAACTTTAAAATAACATTTTAAGCTCTCTCAGCTAACTGTGTCTGGCATAACCCTCCCCCCCCCCCCCCCCCTTCTACCAATCATATCTCCCTCTCCGAAGGATTAAAAATTATCACATCGCGAAATTATTAAAATAGAATTATTTTAAAAATTGAGAACTTTAAAATAATATTTTAAGCTCTCTCAGCTAACTGTGTCTGGCATAACCCCCACCCCCTCCCCCAATCATATCATCCTCTACGAAGGACGGGAAAGTCACCATGTGACGAAATATTGTAACTAAATTGAGTTTGGCATCCGTGTCCATCCAGACTTAAATAGGAAGAACTTGTACTGAGAAGTAAATGTGGCCAGTGTAACAGCTACCACATCACCCATCCAGTACCAGTACTACTGCAACCACTACCACCACCACCATCACAACAACAACAACAACAACAACAACAAAAACTATCACTACAGTCTGTGTAGGTTGGTGTAGAAAAGAGGAGTTAGCGCCGCATGCTGTCGCCACTGACTATTTAGTTCAATTTTGCCCCCGACATAGAAAAAAAAAAAAAACCTCATCACGTAACCAATGATGGAACCCACAGTAAAAAGTACACTATACTCACGAATAGCGGAGAAAAATACCCCGCACCCGTCATCTCTCCCTCTCCGAAGTAACGATTTTTAACTGACCTTGGCATCCGTGTCCACTCAAACTAAAATGGACTGTAAGCCGTCTTAGATAACAGTTTCTGTCATCGCCGAATAGTTTTTGATCGAGAAGCGTCGCGGGGAGGCTTATTATAATTTAACTGAAATCGGAACGTCTTTGGGCGAAAGGCGCAGATATCGCAGCCTAGCTTTAAACCACAAAACAACATGGCAACCACACTTTTAAGGAAAAAAGAACAATTATCACCCAGCGGGAAATCGAACACCGGTCATTCGCATGAAGGATGGAAAACTTATAGCTATACTACCGAAGACTGAAGAGTCTAGGTCAGATATCTCAGCCTAGCTGTAACACTACAACACAACGTGCCCACGGCCCTTTCGAGGGCGAACGAAGATTACCCGTGACATGACCATTGAGCATCACGTCGCCGCTGTCGCAGGCTAGCTGTACACCCCAAAACCGAAAAAAGGCATTGATATCGCAGCCTAGCCATAAACCACAACACAACGGGCCAGCTGACCAGTTAAGGGCTAAAAAAAAATGTATATCACCTAGCGGAAAATCGAAAGCTGGTTACCCGCATGATTAGCAGAATAGTTACAACTACGCTACCAAACACTCAAGCAGATAGTGGAAATAAAATTATATAGTAATGCAAAGTTCAATAAGAGCTCAGCAGTCAAATATGGCCAATCAACTACAAAACAAATCCGGGCCGGCAACGAAACAAATAATGATTTAACCGTTGCTGGAGCTACGTCGTTCCTGGTTTGTGCAATTTTCTGACAAAAAAAAAATCACGCTTTGAGTCAAAGACAACGTTTTGTAAAAATTTGAAAGCAATCAGTTTAGTAGTTTCCGAGTTTATAGTTAACAAACTCGGAAAATTAACCTTTTTATTAATATAGATTTAATGAAATTATAAACTCTTCAACTCACTCAGCACTCCATTGAAAATCGCTTCACGTGCCATGCTTGACACGCGGGCCGTATGCTATCGACGCCTGCATTAGAAGGTAACATAGTCGGGAGATGGTAAACGAAGTACGACGTCCGGCTCCTCTCATATCTGCCTTTCCTCCTAAAGTAATTTTACAGTATTTTGCATCCATGATGCAACCCATGAAGACCTAGCGAAACTTCTGACACGAAAGAAACACACCGTTATGTGTAAAATACATACTGAAAACAAGTCTTAAGTCTGTGGTTTAGGCGTTGCGACGGCGCTTCGTAATGCCAAGGTGGTCCGGCGCAGTGTTGCCACTTTTCTTTGATAAAAAAACATCCAAAACGAAGTCAAAAAATATCTAAAAACATCCATATTTGCGTTGAAAACATCTGGAAAAAACATCCAAATGGAAAGAGTCACAAATTACATAGCAATTAATATGACCTACCCTATAGAATCATGTCCTCATCTTTACTGAAGTCTGCCTCACAAAATGGACAGGATAAACTTAGCTTGGATGATGAAGTTGAAGCTTGAGATCCAATATGACTCTGGTATGCTTTAGCTGTTCCAATTTATTTTAATACCCAATCAGGGAGCTGATAAGTGGAACAGCCTTTTCCTACTATCAGTCGAATTTTATTGTCAAGATAGCATTTAGGAAATCAAATTTCCTTTTTTTTTCCTCAGGTTAGATTTGATAAATTCACTCCAAATGAAAAACATCTACCATCTAAACGTTAAAAACGCCATCTTGTTTGTTTGTTTTAGTATCCAGAAGCCATGAATTGTTAACCCTTAGGCTCGGTATTCTTGATATCGCAACCTTTCGGCCTTGATTCCATTGTAAATACCGTAAATCTGGGATAAATGTGGCTTTTCTGCCTACCCCCGGGAGTGAACCCGGACCACAAGGAGTTCGTCACCCGCTCACCGCACAATCCGGTTTAGCCAACTGCGCTAGAGGGCCGGGCAAAACGCCATCTAAATGCAAGGGAAAACATCTAAATCTGGATGTAAAACATCCAAAGTGGCAACACTGGTTCGGCCCCAGCTGCGGAGCGATTTGCCTTGTGATGGTTTCGATAATGATAGAGAGAGCTGACCATTCAGTGGCAATGGCAAACTACTGAACGTAAAATGTGCCTAGAAAAGCCACATTTTTGTTCTGCAACGTCATATAAAGGATACGCGACTAACCTAACTGGAAACAACAGACTCTGCAGCAAATTGCACAAGAAATTCAAAATTGTTGATTCAAAACTTCGTCCATATGGACAGGCACCATATAATACTTACTGAACATGTGCTATCTGTTTGCTGTAGATCCAAGACTATGCCGGTTGACATTCCAACATTAACCAAGCGGTATGGTAGTTGTATCGAGTTGTATTTAGCGCCCGGCTCTCTAGCGCAGTTGGTTCAACCTGACTGTGCGGCAACCGGGTAACGAACTCTTTGTGGTCCGGGTTCACGCCCGGGGGTAGGCAGAAAAGCCACATTCCTGCCAGATTTACGGTATCTATCTTGGAATCAAGGCCGAATTGTTGCGGTATCCATAGTACCGAGCCAAAGGGGTTAACACATGGTTTCTGGATTTTTAAAAAAAATTCTGTTTCTGAGGAATGTAGTATATTTCACGAAAACAATCAAATACAGATGTTCTAAAGACGATGGGAAAGAAAAGAATATTGATAAGATCTAAAATGTGAGTTAACTCAAACATCATCCAACCGAATTGAAGACACACACAAAATAAATAAAAACTGCCAATGACTGGGTATTCACCACTTTTACTGTGTACGCGGAGGAGAGGGGGGGTCGGGGGGGGGGGGGGGGGGATGGCACAGAGCCGTGCCGTGCTATGTTACAGAGAAGCGACCGAAAGAAAGACCGCATAAGCAGCGAAATAAAAAAAAAACTGTATTAACATTTAAGGAGTGTCCTTTCGAGGACTTTCATCATGTAGAGAAAATCTTATCGCACGGCCTTGGGGAAAAAAAAGGGGGGGGGGGGAGTGCTAGTAGTGTGAGGATTTAGGGCTTAACGAACTGTAAATATTAGGATTAAAAGATACAACGCAAAATGTCATCATCATTATCAGTTGTGCCGTCTGTAAATCTCATATTGCTCGGAGTCCATGCATCCACATTAGTATATTCTTTGCAATCGTTGCGATATCGTGGACGGAATCTAAAAAAGTCTTTTTTAGCTTTTCCACTTGTTTCTTACACTTTCTCTTTAACGTAATCTTTTCCTCAATCAATTTGTTTCCCAGTTCAGTGTCTGATTATTCTCTGTCCCGTTTCCCCAGGATGTGTCCAGTATATCCCATTCTCTGTCCCGTTCCCACAGGATGCGTCCAGTATTTTCATTCCCGTTTCCCCAGGATGTGTCCAGTATATCTCATTCTCTGTCCCGTTTCCCCAGGATGTGTCCATGATACCTCATTCTCTTTCCCGTTTCCCCAGGAGGTGTCCAAGATATCTCATTCTATTTCCCTTTTCCATAGGATGTGTCCAGTATATCTCATTCCCTGTCCCGTTTCCCAAGGATATTTCCAGTATATCTCATTCCCAGTCTTGTTTCCCCAGGATGTGTCCAGTATATCTCATTCACTGTCCCGTTTTCTCAGGATGTGTCCAAGATATCTCATTCTCTGTCCCGTTTCCCCAGGATGTGACCAGTATATCTCATACCCTATCCCGTTCCCCAAGATATGTCCAGTATATCTCATTTTTGTTCTTCATCCTATAACTGCTGACCCCAGCAACTGTCCTGATATTTATTCATAAACCATGATAGGATGGAAGCAGCCATGTACAAACAGGAACACATTGTTTGGAAGATCCTCTGAAGCCAAACTTCTCCGTGAAATCGGCGCTTCACTTTATGGATTTCTTCAGTTTCTTAAGATATTGGACAATATCCCCCCTTTTTCCGTACTTGACCGCATAGGACAGTAGGTTATACCTGGCCAGCGTAGTAACTACGGGTGCCTTAAATATATACATTATATGGAAGTTGAACAGGGTATCTTGGATCTGCCTTGCTGGTCTGTCATCCATCTTGAGATTATGTAATTGCTAGATGGTATGTTGTCGGCTCTGTGGCTAAGTCGATGCGAACTCTTCGTAATGCCGGATTGCCAGGTTCGATCCCAGCTGAGGGCCACGCGCCTTGCGTTGGTTTCGACAGTGGTATCAAGAAAGCCGACCATTCAGGAAGCAATAGCAAATTACTGGACGTAAATTTGCCTAGAAAAGCCAGGGGCTGTTGGGGTTGGTTCTGCAACGTCCTGTAAAGGATACGCAACTAACCAGATGTTACACATTTAAGTAGCATGCCGAGGGGACAAACCAATTAATCAACCCTTCTTTTGAAAATCCAACTGAAACTTAGATTCGCATGTGGTTCAGTTGATACACTCAGTCAACGACTAATATCTTGACTGATTGCTTCTGAGCCTGCAGTTACTTGCAGTCCCTATCCTACTTGTAATATCAGTTCAGTTGGTTGACGGATAAAGTAGGGAGCAGACATGAGAACTGATCTCCAAAAATTGTCAAGCTAAAATTTGAAGCGCGACAGGCGCAGATATCTTCTCTGTAAACAGACTTAACACAAACAGCACCATTTTAATGACGGACAGCTATAAAAAAAAGCATATTTGCTCAGTAAAAGCTGTCTATCCGTTTGTGGATTGATCCATTGATTCAACACACGGTCGGACCGAATCAGTCTGGTGGGCATCCAGATGTTGCTGATTGGTGTTTACTGAGCTGCCAAAGTGAAGTCTTCTTCTATTAACGTTCAGTGTGATTTCCGAGACCATTAGAGGTTCCCCAGTGCAAATATCCTTCTCAATCAATCGTCGCAGATTAATAGGTTCAATTTATTTACTCAGATTCATGGAGATTGTTGCTAGAGCTATAGAGTTCGTGCTTTGCAGGACTTTTCAGCAGACCGCTATCCTGACTTTAGAGAGAGAGAGAGAGAGAGAGAGAGAGAGAGAGAGAGAGAGAGAGAGAGAGAGAGAGAGAGAACGAACAAACGAACTTTATTTTCAAAGGGTCACAAATTGGGCACACAGGCCTGTTTTACATACGGCCCTTCCAGTCAACCATCTTTCGCACAGCAATTGTATTTTACTAATAAAGCATGAGAGAGAGAGAAAGAGAGAGAGAGAGAGAGAGAGAGAGAGAGAGAGAGAGAGAGAGAGAGAGAGAGCGCGTGTGTGATAAAACACCATAAATTGTATTGACACCATAATCAATCAAATGTATTGACACCATAATCAATCAAATGTGTTTTAAGAACCCCACAGGGGAGCATACACAGCAAGAGTTCACCGATGAAGGATTGTATTCCTTAGTGTTAACGAATGAGTGTTTGTTCGTCTGCAGGACCCCAGTGATCAGCGGAGGCCTCTTTGCTGTACGACGCGATTACTTCATGTCCCTGGGAACCTATGACCCACAGCTCAATATCTGGGGAGGGGAGAACTTAGAGTTATCTTTCAAAGTAAGTTCCATTGTTTTTATTATGTGGGGCTGCATTCTGATTTAACACCCGGTGAGACTCAAACAGCCACTTTTTGGGTGTCTATAACAATAACACTTCACAAAACCTCTATAACCTGTAAACCAGTTTTATTTGGGTACTCGACCGTTACAGTGGTTACCCAACGGTTGAACGGAGTCTCTGGGACTAGTGCCCGGGTGATTCTCCTCTTAAGGTGGCACTTTGTGTCACTAAGTGTTTAATCGCTAACTGTGCGATCCTAGTGGGAATGAAGGTCACTCGCTCATTATTGCTGTCCAGCGTAGGATGATCTGTTTTATATTCCTTATTTGTGTTGCTTAATTTGTTTATTCTTTTAAACCCCCGCTGTTCCGTGTATTTAATTGACTCTAGGGTTACCACCCTATTGGTCATCCTCTTAATGGGATATAATTTTAAGTTATTTTGAAGCCCCTCCTCGGCTTCTGCCAGGGGCCCTAAATATAGCCGGGCCTGAAATATGGCCAGCTGACTTAACGGGTTTTCGGGACCTATCTACGGGTGATCCTCATCGGCATGGTGGCACTTTGTGTTACCGGGTGTTTTTCGCTCTGTGTGATGTCCTGGTGGGGTACAACGTACATATATATATACATACCTACTCTAGGGCAGGGGTGGACAACCACTTTTGGCCTGCAGGCCATATTTAGAAGTACCAGCCTAGTCACTGGCCATATAGAATACAAATCCATTAGCTGCCTTCGTCAAACGTAAAAGAGGCTGGAACGGTCTAGGAGCTGTAGTTGTCAGAGACACAGATAGGGGCCTTAAACTTTAAAATGAGGTAGCGCTAAATACACACCCTATTAAGGACAGTAAGTAAATTCGTTCCACCCCCCCCCCCCCTTCTTCCAAAATGGAGAATCGAATATCACAAAGAGAGCTACAATAACTGCCTTAGATAAAACATGGACACGAACGAATGTTTTTGTTTTCTGCCATTTTGAGAGCCCAAGGGTCAGATTATTTAGTAATTTACACCAGCCTAGCGGACCAGTCAACATTGCTCGGCGGACCAGTTTGGGCCCGCAGGCCATAGTTTTAACACTCCTGTTCTAGAGCCACATATCAAACGCCAGACCAACAACAACTATCCTGGCTAGTAGGATTCCTTTCGTTTTGCAGTACAGCGACCAATCTGGTCTTTTTAGTGTTAGCTGAAAGGCCTACAAGCGATTATTATTAGATTACCGACTTGCCCGGCTCGCTAGCATAGCTGGTTGAATGTAACTTCGCGGCGACCGGGTGACGAACTCTTTGTGGTCTGCGTTCACGCCCGGGGGTACGCAGAAAAGCTACATTTCTCAAAGATTTACGGTATGTTTAAAAGAATTAATGGGTTGCCATATCCATAGTCCCAAACCAAAGGGTTAACAACTTATGGTTTCTGGATATTTAAGAAAAAAAAATGGTTGTCTCCCTTCCCCCAATTTTTTTTTGGGTGGGGGGGGGGGTGGGGGGTGGGGTGGGGGGGGGGGTTGGAAGTAGGATGTAATAGCGGTAGCTAAGGTGGTTAAACTAGCTGCGCGGCGACCTGGTGACAAATCCCCCCTGGTCCGAGTTTACGCTCAGGGGTAGGCAGAAAAGCCACATATTTCTCATATTTGTGGTATCTGTTATGGAATCGAGGCTAAAGGGTTTCTATATTTATATTACTAAGCCCAAGGGTTTACAACTCATGGTGTCTGAATAAATTAAAAAAATTGTAATATTACAGTTTAACTAGTTATCTCATTGTGAGTCGATGCATTTTTTATTTTTATTTTGAAGCTCCACCCTGGCTCTTGCCAGGGGCCGCAATATAGCCCGGCCATAAATATGGTCTAATGGCTGAACGCAGTTTCCGGGACCTCTCCGCGGATGATTCTCATCCCCGTAGTGACATTTTGTGTTATCGGGTGTTTATCGCTTGTGTGATGTCCTAGTGGGGTAAAATGTACTACTACTATTATTACAGTTGAATGCTAATTTGTGTTTACATTATTATTACCGCGGTAATATTACTAGCTTGAAAAGGGGTGGGAGGGGGTAAAATAAAGGTAATTTGCCGTGCCTTAAGATGCATTGGGATTTGATACCGGCTTCATCTTTATCTGTATAGAGAAAATGACGCTCAGTCTATGGTGTTGGTGGTAATGCCATGCTGGCAACCTTTACTTTTTTTCACACAAGAGTTACTATGTCGGACGCAGTTTTGTTGTGGTTTCAGAGCCGCAGCCTGGCTGCTGCCTGGGGCCCTAATATAACCCAACCTGTGGGTTAAACAGGGTTTCTGGGACCCCTCTGTTGCTTGGTGGATGTCCTGGTATGGTTAAATCTTACTCACCTTTACTTTGTATACATATCCCGGTACCCACTTTAGATAAAGTCGGTCTAGAAGCGCGGGTCAGTTAAATCTGAAGGTAAAAAATGCTCAATTCAAACTAACTAGTGTACACAAAAAAAAAAAAAAAATGGTATCCCCTCCCTAACCTTCAAAATTATATATATATATATATATAAAGTCTAGATGTGAACAACTTGCCTTAGCAATCGAAAGGTTGCTGAAGGCTGAGATCGTAGTCTAAAGCCATATGGATGTGGAAAGCAACGGAAAACTACCACATTACTATCCCAAGAAACTCATCATGGAAGCTCCTTGAGTATGAAAGTACATGGGGCGGGAGAACCGACGAGAGACCGAGCTTCTTTCAGGCAGACTGGGATGACAGCGACGTTCTGCAAAGGACCTGCTAGATGATGATGACGACGAGATGAGAGGAACAAACAACCATAACTCTCTACAGGAATTTACAGTCGGTAAACACCAAGCAGAAGAAAACGAATAGAGCACTGAGAATACAGTCACTTTTTGTTATTTCACTTCTATTTACTGGGTTAAGTAATTGTGTTTATGTGTTTGTGTGAGCAATGTACAGTTTAATGAAGTCATCACTTATCTATCCACAGACCTGGATGTGTGGTGGCAGTGTAGAAATCCTACCTTGCTCCCGCGTTGGTCATGTTTTTAGATCTTCATTACCATACACATTCACCGAAGGCAGGGAGAAGACAGTGCTAAGAAATCTGGCACGAGTGGCTGGTGTATGGATGGACAGCTACGCGGATATATTTTATGCTGCTGTGGTAATTTCAATTCTTGTTACGTTAAAAATATATTCTGACTGTCTCAGTAAACTATTTGACCTCACGTACATTATCTATTTTTAGCTATCCTCCGAATAACGGTCCTAAATTATAGAGGCGGAAAATATACCCTAACTAAAAAGCCTAAGTCATGTGTCAATTGCGCACTTCCGTCGTCTTAAATGGCGCACTTCCGGCGACTTCCACCACCGCTTGATTTGATTTGCTCGTGAGTCCTAGCCATCTAGTGTAGCCCTAATCCACGCCGCGTGAGCGGCTTATGGGATACCTTCGGCGGTGGCGGAAGTTAGCAATTCGGCTGTGGCGTTATAGTCCCCGGAAGTGCGCAATTGACACGTGACTGAGGCTCTTTTAGAGTATATTTTCCGCCTCGATAATTTAGGACCGTTATTCAGAGGATAGCCCTATTTTTTGCTTCATAATAACTCTCTTTATCTAAGGGTGCGATTTAATCTCGTCAAACATTTTTTCTACTTTAAATTTCTTAATCAATGTCTGTCTTTGTGCACACTGTGATGTGACATTATGTAAGATGATTTTGTTTCTTTATAATAACCATGTGATGCGTATCAGTGGCGAAGCAGTCAAATCATTTGCCTCATGCTCTGAAGGCCATGGGTTCATTTTACAGCTGTCATTCGTTAAGTTCATAAGTGCAGTTTTTTCTGACATTTTAGGGGATCTTTGTCTGAGCTATGGGGTTCGTACTTTGTGTTTCATTTTCTGCAGATAGCTGGCTAGTCTAGAGAGAGAGAGACTGAGTCATGTGAGATAAAAACTGGTGCAATGAAGTTGATTATCCTCTCTGTTTCAAAGTGAATGTGACATGGGGCATAGTTTACTTCAGAATTACCCATTCTTAGAGTGCAACATGACTTCATGTTTCAGTGTGAATAGTCACATTCTTCGACTTCCTTTTTTATTGTGACCTCTTTCTCTAACTATCTCCTTCTTTGTGTTTTTGGCCCCTCCTAGCTGTCTCAGTGTGCAGTACTAACAGGCAGATTTTTCTTTAGTCGTATTTTCTGATTACTATTTCATAAAAAATAGGTTATTTGAAAACATTCTCTCTCTGCCATATCCACAGTACCCACCTGCCCACAGGGTGACCAAATTATCTTGAGCTGAAAATTGAATGTCTCACTTATATCTTGAGCTGAAAATGGGATATCCCACTAATGTTTTGAGCTGAAAATGTAACATCCCACTAATATTTTAAGCTGAAAATGAGATATCCAACTATATTTTGAGCTCCAAATGTAACATGTTACTTATATCTTAAGCTGAAAATGGGAAATCCCACTAATATTTTGAGCTGAAAACGGGACATCCCAGTCAAAGCAGTTTATTCTGCCTTTCCTCATCCCTCCCTTCCCTGAACCCCCCCACCCCCCACCCACCACCACCAGAAGAAAAATTGCTTTCTCGAATTTATTATTATCATCAATAATTATTAAGGAAGTAATACATTTTAAGAAGATGAAAATACACAGGCCAATAAATTATATAAATAACAAAAATGAATTATTTTTAAAGTGTTTTCTCTACTTGGATTGCACACTTTTGATTGATCCCACTAATGCAGTGTATAGATCTGTGTATCTTTCCTTTCACTTTGTATTTGTGTAAATGTTAGAAGTTTCATTGTTTTTTTCTCTCGTCTGACTGAATATCTTGTACTTATTGGTTCCACTCATGTAGTATATATTTTACCTTTCAGTTTGTTTTTGTACATATTTTCCTGTTTAACTGTTTTTTTTATTTAGTTAAAATACATGCCTTTTGTATGTTTGTGTTTGTTCCACTGGTGCAGTGTATAAATCTATATATTTTCCTCATAAGCCAGAAACACATTTAAGGCATTCAAAATACTTATCCATGAAATCTAATAAGGTGTATGGATATAACAATGAGAGTATGTATTCTTCTCTGACTTATTCTTAGCTTTTTATAAAACAAGACATTTAGATATTTTTGTTAGTTTGTTAAGTATAGATGGGATGTTCTTTACACAGCTAACAAATGGGACTGTCCCAGTAAAAAAAAGTCGTGCAGCCACCACCACCCCCGCTCCCTTTTTGTTTAAAATTTATCTCACAAATTCTGTGACACTGTCATCCAGTTTCACATTTTTTTGGGTCTCCTGTTGTGCATATAACGTATCAACATGATTTCATCTTCCCCCCATTTTCTCTATACTGATGGGTAAAGTCAGGAAATAGAACTCTTAGATTGTAACAATACTGTTAATGTGCGTCCGTTTTCCTCTCTGTCTGTGGCGGTGTCCATGTTGATCTTTTTCCTCTAGACCTATACTTTCCCTCATTGTCTCTTTTGAATTTCTCTTTCTCTGCTCTCCCCCCCCCCCCCCCACCCCCAATTGTCTTTATTTTTGCCTCTGTATCTACCTCATGTCTCTCTCCCGCTTTCTTTGTCTTTCCATTTCTTTCTGTCTATTCTTTCTTGCATCTGATCTGTCATTTTTTTGTCTTCTCTTTCTCCTCCATCATTTCAGATAAACAATTCATGATTTTCAAAAGTATATCTCCATTCCAGAACCTTCCCAGTGATCTGGACATTGGTGATATATCAGAAAGGATACAGCTCCGTAAAAATCTCAAGTGTAAATCTTTCAAGTGGTACCTGGATAATGTGTTTCCAGAGATTGATGTTGTTTCTCCAGACACAGTAGTGTATGGGCAGGTAATTATGGTGTCATTTTACTGTTAACGAGAATGATGCGTTATCATGAGCCGATTTGAGTCGAGTCAAGTGGTGACATCACAGCACTTGGGTCATTACCATATGTGCTCCATCCTCATCTTCAGCAGCCAGTGCTGAGTTAAGGTACTAATGGTATTAGACGTAATCTAGTTATATGTTCGTCTTGCCTTTCCTCTGAGTGTAGAGAGCAGGCCAGACCCTCTGGTCACAACCAGGTGCATCATTCTCTCCAGGCCATAATAATCCAGTTTCTTTTCCAACTTCGTTACTTGTTCCCAAAAGGTTTTGACCACAACTGCCTTGTCATGTATCAGTTCACCACCTAGAGTGCAGATCCAGCCAATCTGTCTGCATGTTAATTCGCCACTATGCCAATATAGTCTGGACAAAAGATCCAAAATATGCTCACTTCCTTTGGCCTTCCAAATAAAGTTTGGAAAACAAAGAATAGACCCACTGTAAATATTGACTAATTGGAAGTGTTACCTTCAAAGTGAGAGTGTATCTGACTGAGAGGCAAGGAACTAACAATCTTCATGCAAATAGGCCAGTTCTGTACAATGGATGTACATGCAAAACTCAAGTTCTGGAACAAGGCTAAAGTTCAGAAGTGGATGAACAACCAGAACTTTCTGTCCCAGTTTACAGCCGGTGAACGCAAAGAAGAAGAAGATATGCTGGGTATTTACAACAGTGGAGATGTTGTTTTGAGAAGAATGTAAAAAACAAACAAAAAATCATCATCAACAACTACATTAACAACAAAAGGTATTCCTCCTCGATGAAAGTAGTAAACTCATTAGAAACATTAGATGAAGACAGGTGCCGTTCTTCACAACATGTTAGGAGAAGGTCATGGGTTCGTTTCACAGACATTTCAATCGATTCATGAGGGCAATTTTTACAGTAACTGCATATTGTTGCAACAGAAAGATCCATTGCAAAAATGTATGCAGCAATCCAGATGAACTGTTGTCAAAACATACCTCCACTAGCAAAAGAATTCAATGTGTCTATTGGGACAGTTCAAAAGGTTGTTGATAAGAAACTGAAATATTGGAAGGTGTGTTCACAGAGGGTACTACTGATGCTGACCGACCACAAAAACAAAAAGGAGAACTGCATAGGACATTGTTTGAACCACTTGCAGTATGACAGAATGGAGGGTGACACATTTCTCTTCCCCATAGTGTTAAACGTTGAATAATTTTGTCATTACTTTGAACTGAGTAGCTAAGGTTAGAGCATGCTGTTTCACCAAAAGCCAAACAATTAAGTTACAGGTTTCTGCAGGCAGGGCTATGCTGAACACATTATTACTGTTTTTGTTTTTACAATGAATTAACAAACTTTAATGAATCTCTGGTGTCAACATCAACTCTACCAACTACATGGAACCACAAGACAAGCTGCATAAAGACATCAATAATAAATGTTCTGGCGGCGTGGTGTCTCATGGAGTGAATGTTGTTGCACAGAAACTCTTGTCCTCATGACGAACAGATTGTGCAGGAGGGGTTAGCATGGAAGTAGTCAGACATTCAGCTGATGGGGTTAGCATGGAAGTTATCAGACATTCAGCTGATGGGGTTAGCATGGAAGTAGTCAGACATTCAGCTGATGGGGTTAGCATGGAAGTAGTCAGACATTCAGCTGATGGGGTTAGCATGGAAGTAGTCAGACATTCAGCTGATGGGGTTAGCATGGAAGTAGTCAGACATTCAGCTGATGGGGTTAGCATGGAAGTAGTCAGACATTCAGCTGATGGGGTTAGCATGGAAGTGGTCAGACATTCAGCTGATGGGGTTAGCATGAAAGTAGTCAGACATTCAGCTGATAGACCTGATTTGGTCTCCATGTGATTTTCAGCAGATTTAATGAGGAAATCTGACAACTGTCTTGATGAAATAGTCATAAATTGACACTGTTTTTGCCTAGCTAATGAACATAATAGCTGTATGATGCCAAAAGAATTATACTTACATGCTTGTTATAGTTATGTTTTTAAAATAGTCCCTTACAAGGATCATTTTATTTATAAAATCAGGTGAGAAACGAAGGTTCTCTCATGTGTGTGGATATCATGAACTCTGCTACAGGACACTACCTGGGTCTTTCAGCATGCAATGGTGGCAAAAATCAGGTAAGGTTTATTATCAGCACTTATTAATGCATTCTGTATATTGTATGGATATGTTGAGTTGAGCCAAGAATTGACACCACAGCACTCGGGGCATTCCCATGCATGCTCCGTCCTCATCTTCAGCAGCCAGCGCAAAATTCCAATACTGATGGTACCAGTCACAATCTGGTTAAATGTGCGTCTTGCCTTTCCTCTGCGTGTAGTGAGCCGGCCAGACTCTCTGGCCACACCCAGGTGTCTCATTCTCTCCAGGCAATAATAATCTCCTTTCTCCACTGATTCTGTTGCTTGTTCCCAAAGGGTCTTGACAACATCTGCCCTGTCATGTATCAATTCACCACCCAGTGGTGCAGATCCAGCCAATCTGTCTGCCTGTTCATTACCCACCATGCTGGCATTGCCTGGAGTAATGGATATTTGATATTATAATGAAATAAGTTTATAATTCATCCTCATCATCATTATTCTTTTGTGTGCCATTATTTGTCACACATAGCTCACAGTACATCTACTTCATTATATCCTGTGCCAATCCTTTCAGTCTGAGAATACAGTCCAGTCCAGCACCTTTGGCTTTTTTCATCCACGTTCATTTTAGGGTTTCTTCAGTCCATCCATTCTTTTCCCATTTCAGTGCCTGTTTGGTGATTCTCTGCTCACTTCTTCTAAGGATTGCCCAGTCTAGTGCAGTCTTCGTTGTCTTGTTGATACTATTTCTCTTCTTTCTTAACCTTCCTTGAATTCATCCCATTTGATATGCATTTAACTTTTGTTCAGTGTCTTTAATGGTTCTTCAACTTTTGATGGCATGTATTAAAACTGAAAGACCTTCTCTAAATACTGCAAAAGTGCTAAATACAGAGAGTTTTGATAGATGCTGATCAACTCTAGTATCTGTTGAGTTAAAGAATCACACCGGATTATTAAGCTCAGCTCAAAAGTAAACTATTTTCTTCCATACTTGCTACTTTCTTCAAAAGTTTTAAGTGAATATTCCTGACCGGTCCTCTCTGTGATAAATCATTCAAGCTATTTTCTCAGGCACTGAAGGGTTTGTTTCATGGAAGGTGTCATTCATTTCATGAACGTATCATTCATTTCCTTAGTGCAGTTTCTACAGAGATCCCTGGAAATCATTGCTGGAGTTGCGGAGGTTGTGCTTTTTTTTTCTGGAACTCTCAATGGAAGGCTAGCCATTCTGTAGAAAGAGAGACCAAGGTATATGAGGTAGCCTGGTGCAATGAAATTGATCCTCTCGATGTTAACTTTAATTTTGTGCAACTTCCCAAGGATTTAATTCCATAATTGTCTGTCTTGTACCATTCTCTTTATTCCATGTAGGCTTGCGTCACTAGATCATTGAGTGCCTGCTTTATACATGTTATTTCTGGTTTGTCCATTATTCTGCCTTTTTTATCTGATGTATGCAGTTCTTCGAATATTTGTGTAAACAGCTCTGCATCTTGATAAATCTAGAGAGTGAATGAGTGATTTTCAACCTCACCAGGACCCCACAACAAGCAACCAACACCTGGTGACACACCATTTGGATGCAGATCATCCAGGCACAAGTCGCAGAAACTCATTTTAACCGTTAGGTAATATTATAGCCCCCGACTACAGCCTGTGTGGGGCTTAAAACATAAAAAACATTTTATCTCATGTTGAAAAAAATTCATTTATTGATAAATCAATTCTAATGTAATACTGAAAACACATCTTTACAATTTAAATAATGTGGACACAAATAATAAATTCATAGCCCAGTTATTTACCTTGCATATTTTGCTGTATCTCCTCAGGTGCATCCTACAGTTAAAATAACATAAAGAAGCTCATAAATGAATCTTTTCCACTGAAATAGACAATGCATGTTTTCTCTTCTCTAGTCGTGCTGTACATCTCATTACTAAACGTTCAATTTAGATAGGTGATTACCCCAGAAGTCTAACATATATGACAAGATCTTTTTGTTTGCACAACACAGATTTATAAATTTGTATTGCTACTATTTGTTTTAAACATCTTTTATAGTTGATATTTTATGTAATATTTTGCTTTCAGACACTGCATTTGACCAATGATAACCAGCTGAAACAAGGTGCTGCTTGCATCGTCCCTGGACTCAACAAACAATTAACACTTTCCCGCTGCAGTGCTACAATTCAGTGGATATATGAGGTCAGTCATCAAGAATACCTTTCCCATTTCTGTATCTACTACCTGTGTTTAGACTGTGAGCTGAGCATCTGAGAACAAGCATGTTGAATACATATTATGGCAACAGCAGTGGTCCTGAATCCCACAACTTAAGACAGACTTTTCTGAACATGAGCTGGTCTTGCTAGTAACAGTCGTTGTTAAAAAGTCATCCCCTTGTGGAATGCAATTTTTCGTTTTTTGAAAGCCCCACCCTGGCTTTTGCGGAGGGCCCGGAATATAGCCGGACCATAAGAATGGCTGAAAGAGGTTTCTGGGACCTCTCCATGGGTGATCCTCATCCGCAATGTGGTACCTTGTGTCACTGGATGTTTATCCCTTGTGTGATGTCCTGGTGGGGTACAACAAGAGAGAGAGAGAGAGTAACAGTCGCCGTGGGTTGTGATTTCCATGTCTCTGTTGAGCACAGTACAACACCATAGACTGGAAAGACAGAACTGTGACAATCAGCCAACAGTTTAATATATTGTAGGGCAGGGCTGTTCAGTTGAGTTTACTTAGGGGCTACAGTTTTGACAAATGTGGTGTGGGGGTGGGAAGGGGGGGGGGGTTATCACAGGCTAGAGTCCGGAGCTCCAGTGTAGAAGACATCCCCTTGTGATTTCCATGTCTCTGT